ATCAGTCATTTGTGGGAAAACTAAAATGCAACTGTGAAACACAACTCTGCCATTTTCTACCAATCATGAATTAGCTTAACACAGTATTTTTAATGGAAATGAATGCATTTTTGCCCTTCTCTCAACAAATAGAAATGAAGTGTCAAGAAGTATATTTTATATGGAAATCAAGCTCAAAATTATAAAAATAGTTTGAAAAAAGAGCAATAAATTAATATGGAATACATGTTTATTTATAGCAAGAGATGAAAATGAAGCAGTCTTCATTGAACTTGATTCCTGTGTAGCATATAACAGTGGTGAAATAATTTCATTTGACACTGGCTACCCTTATTCCCAGGTATTGACAGATGTGAAGATAGTAGAAGGATTAATGTATGTCATTAAAAATACTTCTGCTTAGTTACATTTTGCAATTATGTGGGTTTTCATTTGTCATTTCAGGACACTTACAGTGGATTAATAGGCACACTCGTTGTGTGTCATAGACATTACCTGCCATCATTTCCTACTAAAAATAAAGTTCAATTTGCTCTTCTCTTCATGGTTTTTGATGAAAATGAGTCATGGTACTTGGATGAAAACATTAAAACATATTCTACCAACCCACACCTTGTTGACAAAGAGGATGAAGAATTCCTTGAAAGTAATAAAATGCATGGTATGTTTCCCAATTTAGTTCTTAGAGTTCTGCGAATTCTATAAAATCATATATTTGAAAGCACTGCATATAAATTCAACTTTCTCAGCCCCCTGAATTTCCAGTTCCAGGACAGAAGGCCTGAAAAACATTACTCAAACTTTTTGAAAAGACTGCTAATGCCAGTGAATGACTTTTTATTTCACAAGTTAAAAAGCCCTTAACAACAAAACAACAAAACCCCCTAGTATAGTCCCATGTTGAAGTTTTGAGTAGAGAAAGAATGAAAATGAAATTTGAAGTTCTGATTAAAAGTCAGTAAATAACTGTTTTGGATATGTTGGAAAGGCTACGTGCATCCTGAAAGCGTGTCTTTTACAAGCTAACTCTTTTATGAGGTTCTACAGCTCTTTAAAAACTGCAATAATAGCAATGGTGTACAGCAAATAAATTTTCTTTATTTTGTCTTTCTTTCTAGTTTAATGTGGAATATAAACACAACCATTCATAATGTACTGCCCAAAGCCATTACTTTTGTCTGACATTGGCTTTCAGGTCTTTCATTTTGTATTGTATTAGAGATCAACAATACACATTATCTTATTTCTTTTCTCTGTCTTATTTTCCTTCTTTTTAGCCATTAATGGAAAGGTGTTTGGAAATTTGCATGGTCTGACTATGCATGTTGGAGATAATGTCAGCTGGTATCTGATGGGAATGGGCAATGAGATAGACATTCACACAGCACACTTCCATGGCCACAGCTTTGAATACAAGGTATCAGGTCTTTTTCACTTAGTTCCTGCTGTGTTAAGAATGAGAGGTAAGTCAAAACCCAAGGTCTGTTATCTATGGTGAAAAGCCATATTACAATATTAAGCAGGGCTTGTACTTTGACCATAAGGGTTTTATGCCTCAAAGATACAAGAGCCACAGCATATCTGCCAGTAACATTTGCTCACTAGGGACCTCAGAAGTTACTTCAAAAAGGTAGTTGTGAATTTTTCATGGCTATGGTAAGACAAAAGCTATAGTTTTCCCTCATTTCCACTTAGTTGCTCGTTTATTAAACTCTGGAGCATGAGGTGGATGTGTAAAGTGATGCTTCAGTAGAAACGACACACAGAAAGGGTGCTCAACACAGCTTCACTGTTGCTTCTTTTCGCTTGCAGCAAACAGGGGTTTACCGGGCAGATGTCTTTGATCTGTTCCCTGGGACATCTCAAACTGTGGAAATGACCCCAGAGAACCCAGGAACGTGGCTGTTACACTGTCATGTCACTGACCACATCCACGCAGGCATGGAAGCGACCTACACTGTGCTGCCAAAGGAAGGTAAGAGCCATCTAGCTTAGGAAAGTTTGTCACGTTTGAAGCTGCACAATGGGGCTCACAGACAGGCACCCAGCAACATTCCATGCCTAGAAGCCAAGCCATTGCAGGCCACCTGGTCATACTTCTGTCAGTGCTGCTCAGGAAAATGAAGTAGCTAAAGGACTGCATGACAACTTCAGCTTACCATCCATGAAATCTAAGTGACAGATTTCTTAATTTAAAAAGAATTTTTCATCAGACAGAGTATTTCTGTACCCAAAAAGTGCCAGTAGTATCAGATTTCATCTCAATCTTTGTTCAAAACAAGTACAGCTGATAAATACAGCTGAATTAATCATCCTCATACAGCTGAAGTACCAAAAAATTGAAACAGTGTTTACTTTCTCAAGGGCATGTTGTAGCTTTACGGACACTATAACCTTGCTTTAGCAGTATTCCCAGTGAAAAATCTTGAATTTTGAAGAATTTCAGAAGTTCTTGTTTCTAAAAAGTTAATACAATTTTAAAAACAACATTTTCCAGTACTCGAAAGACAGAGCATAACAGGTATTGACAGAAACAGAACAGTTCAAAATATGTGATGTATGTATAATAATAATAATAATAATAATAATAATAATAATAATAATAATAATAATAATAATAATAATAATAATTCAAAATATGTGATGTATGTATATATTATAATACAATTATATGTTTTACATTTATAGCTATACTAAAAATACAGAATGCAATGTTAAACTAAAATCTAATTCTATTTGATAAACCACTGGAATGTGAAACACAACTTAATTCTATTTTATAAACACGAAAACTGATTTACAGAGTGTGTTGCACCAGACCTCCAGACGATAACAAGCCTAATTTAAGAATACATGTAAAGCCATGTAAAAACAGACTTTCAACTTGGATCAGCAGTATGTCAGATTTTTTATTATTAGCTATCTAGACTGCACTAAAATATACACATCAGTGCATCTTAAACTTGTTTTTAAATCTAACTCACAACGTCCAGAAGGCACTTGGATCCTCTGTGCTCCTTCTGGACTCTGCTGGCTACATACACAGACTATTCTCTTGATGAAATGCAACAAAAAGCTGCTTTCCCCCTTCTAGGCAAACTGTCTCTGTTCCCAAGACTATTCAATCAATTCAAGTGTAAAGGCATGCCAGGCACTCAAGAATGATGAAAGCATTTTAACACAGTGATCATCCAAGGTCTTAATTTCCTGGAAAATACTCTCTTCTGGACCACTCATCTCTATACGTTTGGAAGGTTTCACACAGTGGCCATGTCTATGAAAAGAACCACAGACTAAGACAGCTGAATGGATGTAACAGCTTATAAATACATGTTTCTATAAAAGAAAATAGTACCTTGCAAGTGAAACATTCTAGGTGATGGCTAATGCATGTTATTTAGCAGCTGAGGAACATGGAAGAGCTAATGAAATGTACTATTTTTTAAAGTTTGCAAGTAACTCGGAGTAACAGCAAAATTTGGGGTATGGGTCACCATACTGTCACATTTTACTTGACAGGTATGTCTGTAGTAACTGCTCAGAAAACAGGAATTTGATTATCACTTTATCCATAGGTTGACACTGAAAAGATACACAGTATTGTATAACTGAGCAGTTTAAAAAATACTTCTATTATTTCTGTTGAGTTAATTTACAATTTTATTCAGTATTTAAGTAGTATTTAAATAATATTTTATCCAGTGCATTTAAAAGATTTGTTTTTCTGTTATGAAAATAATTCCAAGGCAAAATTAGGCTGAAATAAGCCTGCTGAAATGCAGACAGTGAAGGCCAAAATTTGGTGACTATGGTACTGAAGAGCTTAGTTCTGAAACTCTTAAGTAACTGCTGCAGTGGAATCATTTTGCTGTTGCAGCCCTTGGCAAAGGAAAAAGAAAGTGTTTCCTGACATATGGAAGCAGCAGCACTAAAGCATGGCTGATGCTAGTCAAAAATGAAAACAGTAAGAGTGATATGGTTGTGTTTCAATAACCCAACAACTCACGTCAGATCTGTGGCAAATAAAAGATGTATGGGACTGGCAGGGAAAGCAAGATACCTGTACCAATGAAATTGCTTCTCTGTAACAAGCCTAAATCACTTTGGTCTTTTTTAAAGATTATACCCAAACTGGCATAATACCTACCAGAGTAAATGAGATCATTCATTTTACCTGTAGCAGGAATGCTATGAGAGTAAGTTAAACTACTTTTGATTTATCTTTTTTTTTTGTTAATGTTTTTTAGATGATATACAGATGATGTCTTCTGACTGACTTCTACAAGTTTAAATAACATTGCAACTCCAGTGAAAATATTTTTATAGAGTCAACGTCAGCTCATGAGGCCTTTAGACAGTTTAGATGGTGATGGGATCATGGGAGTCATTGTATTTTTGGTAATTGTCAAAAACCCCAAACTACATTCATTAAAAAGTTACAAACATTGTGACAGCTTATTATGACTGAATTCCAGCTCTGAAGGAGCAGAAAGATGCTTTCTGCTCACAAGACAGATAAACACCAATACACACATGCATGAGCACCTGAGATGCTTACCAAAAACCCTAGAAGAAATAAGTTTTCAGCTGGATTTGTAGCCTAGTGCTACTTCAAATACTGCCTACTGACTGATGTAACAGAAGAAAGAAAACAAAGACCAGCAAGACCACAGTCTGCATCTTCCACTTCTGCTTCACTCAGATTAACAGCCTTTCTCGCAAATTGCTAAATTAAAACTTTTTCAGTACAACACTTGCCTGGGTATGTAACTAAGATGACAGAGCAGGGGTCTGATTTTCCAAGCTAGAATTCAAGGAAATATCTGTGTTGCAATATCAAGTCAGTTGGGCCCAATTCCACTTGGAAGAGTAAGGGACTCACTTTTTACTTGTACAGTTAGACACATGCCTGAACCTCCCTAGGTCAGTGATCCAACTAACAAAGATTAAAGACTTTCTACTTTATTTTCAGTGAACACTGTATGTTCAGTTGTAGAGCCTGTAGAGTCTGCATTTCATAGCTGCTTTGGCACCAGAATTAGCCTCAAAAGAGATGCTTTGCCTCAGGAAACAGCTTTCCTTCAGTAGCTGATGTAAGATGTATGTGAAGGGAGTCCCACAGTACCTTATGAGGAGTTCTACTGCTTGTTTCATTTACTTTTTTATTGCAGCACATTCTTTGTAGCTGAGTAGATAGAAGATCCACAGGTTGTTGTCTTAGGTCAGCAGCCTCCTCTGGCTGCAGTGAAGAAGATGTGGCAGAAAAAATGCTGCAGTTCCATCCTCTGGTAGAAGACTGAGGAAATCCCTTAGCTCCACTTCCATTGCAACAATTGATAAAGTTTCTGCTCAGAGCAGGGTAAAAAATATTGTTTAGGTATTTTGAGTTTAGAACAAAGAAAAAACCCAAAATCATTAACAATGTAATTATTAATTCAAGTCATTAAATAATTTAAATAATTTAAATAATTATTTAAATATTGCAACTGGAATGACATAGCCATTTGGGTACAAACACAACTATGGGAAATCTAAAAAGTAAACTGAAATAATGACTTCAATCAAAACCATACCTGTGTCTTGGCCCATCAGGTCTACACATGGCACTAACACTAATGAAGTCTGATCTAATGTTTCACATGTTCTGTATGAAATGCAAAGCAAGCCCTAGAAATCTTATTAGTACCCTAACTCAACACTATCTGTAAAACTGGATGCTTTGCAAGAAGCTTCTCAGACCCAGCTGTGTAATGTTATGTTCTTAAGGAATTACAGCACAGTTACTGCATGAAAATAAATCCAAAGAAAAACTGCTGACACCAGAAACAAGAACTTTATGATAGAGCATGGTAGCCTGTGCTGCACAGTGCAACTCCACAATGCTGTTCTTCTCAGGCATTCCAATGACATACTTTTAACAATATATGCTCTATCTAATATTCCTAATTTGTCAAAACAATCACACTGGCCCCTCACAATAAACAATATTATTAACTTCTTACAAACACATAGCGATAGGACTACAGAATTATTAGGGTGGATTTCTCTACTTCTAGTATTAGCACACTGGTTTTTTCAGCCTATAATCTAATCATCAATGTACACTTAAGCCTCTCCTGCTGTGTTATCAATAGCAGTCTATTACCTAAGAACCATATAGTCATTTAGCCTAGAAAAAACCCAAGCACAATTAGTTCTGTTTAGTAGGTTTTTAAATGGTGTTAATTTTAATTAATGGTGTTAATTTTTTAACTAATTCCTGACCTATACAGAAAGAGCATTATTACAACAATTTACCTGTTTTCCATACAAAATGAATGCCACGATCTTTATGAGGCTACACTGCCTATGTTGCAGAATTCTGTGCTAATGACCAGAGAGGCTGCTAAATTGCATTAGATTTAACTGAAGAAAAAGACCCCCTTTTTTCCAAATTATCATATCAGTAGTCCTTAGTCCAAACAGTTATTAAGAATGTTAGCTGATGTACAAAGCCTTCTGGAGTTGAGTTACAATCAACTGATTTACCTTTGAGTGATGAAATAAGAACAGGGCAGTCATTTCCAGTAAGTCTAGTTCTCTTGCAAAGTTCAGGAAGCAGCTTGTTCCACCACAGAGCCTAATCCACAAAACCCCATAGCAAAAGTGTAAATCAACAAGGACTGCAATTAAGAGTATGAAAGACCTGCTAAAAATACCCTGAACTAAGCTCAGATGTGTACAAATACAGGTCAGTTATTACGAACTCAATAATTAGTTTATATCATGCTTTGAAATGCACTGATTTTGCATATGTTGTGTTTTTCAATCTTCAGTGCAAGTTTTTTCTGCTCAAAAATCTTTATGCAATGTTCCTCATACCTCTATAAAAAAAAGTTTAGAAGACAAAAAAGTCATATAATTAGCAATACCAACGCAGTCAGAGAATTTTTTTTTCTCTCAAAACAGCTCCATGGAAAGTGGTGAACATCATTGCTCTGTCTCCTGACCTGATCTGTCTCATTCCAAATACTGTAGTAGTAAACTGGGCTTTGTGTATACAATTTTGCAGATAAGAATGGTGAGAAGGAAAGGGATTTATCTCCTCCTTTAAAACTTAGTAGCTATTTTCTTTCACTCGTGTTTAGATTCAGTACTGCAACCTCACATTCTAATCTAATGTGGAAACAATCAGAGAAACTATTTTCAGATGTGAATAAAAAGCTCAAATCTGGTTCTGAATAGAATTCTAGTACATCTGTCTGGTGGAAATCGCTTTTGCTGGCTCTGGTCAGCAGAGCTGCATACAATTAATTAAGTCACTGTGCTGGGAAATGGAAATAAACTCCTGTATTCCTAGAACATTAGAATAAAATCAGTTCCAGCACTAAAAACTGTATAGAGGCCTAATGGGAAAATGGGACATAAGGACATAATCTTTCCACTAGTGTACTGGTAACATTCTGATTGCTAGGTCAGAAGACGTCACTAGAACACAGGAAGAACATATTTAAGTGCCATTTTATTTGAAGGACCACATTCTCTTATCAGTTAGCTTATTACTAAGACTTCACATTATAAACACTGACAAACAATTTAGAACACCGTCAGTTAGTGAGAAACTAGGCAGCTTTTCATTTACAGTAGAAAAAGAACATACAACTCTTTTCTGAGGCACTCTGCCATCTGAAAAGACTGCTTTAAATTTACTATAATGAATAGAGTAAGTGGCAAAAGAAACTGGAGGAAAAAATATTCCATTACAATTACTGGGGACTGAGTTAAGGAATTAAAATGCCAAGGAAGAGGTTGAACACAAGCTAAGCAATTCACTTTGTCTGAAAGCTAGGCTATGTGATCCATCCAGAGTCCATATGTACAGCATTTCAGTTAGGGAAAAAACTCCAAATGATAGTGAATAACTGCATTGAAAGCAGCCCACCTGACTGTCACCTTTCAGCTCATGCTGAGCATAGAACACAAGTGCATCAGGACACCTTCTGAGAAGCTGGTCAATGGCTTCCTCATACTTGCCCAGACGGGTATTGCAGAGAACACGGATGGTGAGGCCGACTTTGTCAGCCTCTGTCAGGGGCTCCAAAACAGGCAGAGCTGAAGCTATATTGATTGACTGACTACATAAAAGAGACTGAAGATAAGAAGAAAAAGCATTATTTGGATTTAAGACAAAGGTTGCAAAAAAATGCTAACCATAACCTTAGAACAGAAGCTCTTACTTGTTGGAATAATCCTGAAATAACACTTCCTTTAATAAATATTGCTGAGAACTGAGAAAGCAAGTTTAGAGTAGATGCAAATGTAAATATTGTTATCAACAGAACTCTTCAGTAGTTTTTTCTTCCATAATTTCAGTTGACCTTTTATTTTGACTTGGATAACTTAGGGGGGGAAGAAGGAAGAAAGTCTGCTGGAGAATGTTGTTCACACAAACATGAACATTTGCAGAATGATCTAAGATATAAAGCAGTAAGATGTAATACCTGCTTCATACCTGTAGTCTTGAGATGTCTTCATGGTACTCTTTGTCACATGAACATCCCACTGACATTATGGAAGATACCCATGGGACAATAAATCCAAAATGACTACAGGAATTTATCTATACAACACAGAATCAAGTTGCAATAAAAGAAACATTTCTATTAGTGAAAGTTCTGTATGAAACTCACTGCAAGTAAAGAAAATTTTAATCTCAAACAGCATAATTTAGAATGGTACCTATCCATTCTTTCCTGGTTCATGCAATTCAATAACAAATAAATGGGAAACTTCTATTTAGTTCTGTATTTCAGCTTTCCTGTTTATAATTCTTTAGAATTCATCATTCACACAGTTTTCTCATTTAGTTAGCTTTGTAAAATTGCAAATAATCCACCTGACAAGTTCTCATTGTTTAGTTTGAACCCTTATTTCTATCCAGAGCTGAGATTCCTGTTGGAAATATATTTGCCAATGTCCCCAAGGAGCAGGACTGGCCAAAGACAGAAATACTAATTCGTAACTGCACACCACCTTATTTGATTTCAGTCTTGCTTCTTTTAAGAGATAAACTGTCTAGAATTAAAATATTAAGGATGATACTTGGATAGATTCTGGAGGAACACTGCAGCCTAAAACCTCCTCTGTGTGATTTACAACTTACTAGATCTTCTGTTGTTTTCAATGGCTTAGTATCAGGAAGTTGCTTTCTTGATATTCTCCTAACATACTGAGAAGTAACTCTCAATAGGAGCTCCTGAAGTATATCTTCCTTAGAGGACACTACAAGAAGAGCTTCCCAGAAATCCATCAGGAGCTGGGGAACAGTGTTTTCACTGCTATTACACAACATCTAAGAACAAAAACGATAGAAGACAGCAAGTTAGACTATGGTGATTATTAGTAGCAAAAGTTTGAAAAGACAGGAGGAACAGTTTTTCACTTTTACCAGAAGCAAAAATTTTATTCCTTTTTTTCCCTGTTCCTGATTCTATGTATTACACTGCTATGCAAAGTAAAAAGTCCATTAAATTATTTTAAGGTAATCAATTCTGACCAACAGATTTGATTTCTTCTTCAAGATTTACTCCACTGCCAGAAATGTCAGTACAACTATCAGCAAGTATTTACAGACTGCTAATGAGGAGGATTTTTACATATCCCAATAAACAAGTAGATGTCTTCAAAAGAAGTCTCTATAGTACATAATAAGACTGGCTGTGTAGCTCAGCTGGGTATCAGGGTAGGACCCACGAGGAAGATGTTTTAAGATCTGCTGTGCCAGCAAAAAGAATTTTTACTTGGTTTCCAAATAGTTTTGAAAAACAACTCTTGTTCTAATTAGAACTTTATGACTTGCTCTTTTTCATACAGGTCTTTCGCAGTAACAGATACAGTAAAGACTGCAACACATACACATTTTAACCCAAGTGTTGCTATTCATTGCAGATAAAAGAAAAAAGGTTTGTTTATTCCCAGTTGAAAGAAAGAAAACTTCAGCGACACTAGGAAAACTATTAGTATTTCTTCCTATAAATTGCAGACACACACTTTTCCTTCACTTATTTATACAGATCATCAGAACATTAGACACCTTCATATTTGAGCCTGATTCTTTAGAAGTATATTTTAATTCTAAAGAATTCTTTAAAAGAAGCTTATGGAATTAACTTATTTAAATTCTGTTACATTTCAGTGGCTTTAAGGAAGCACAATTGCTAGGAAGCCACTGAAAGCGCTCTGAGATCAGGGTATTTTCCATTCAAATGATAGAGTAAAAGCAAAGAACTTCATGGATTTTTTTTGTTTTGTTTAGTTTTACTTAAGCAGTATTTAGTTCAGAAGGTCCAGTTTCTGACTCTGTAACCATCTATCATGACTAGAATATCTCCAACCCTCATCTTGCTCTTTGTGAAGAAATGCTGAAACGTGAGTGAAGGAGCAACTGAGGCTGCTTTTCTTTCCCACAACAATGTCACTATGAAAAAAATAGAAGCAAAAACGTGATCACAGGCCAACCTTGAAAAAGGTATCTGCTTCTTCTAGTTCAATTTTACTGTTCTCATGTAAAGCCACGATGGCAGCCACCAGTAAACCAGGCTGCATCTCCTTCAGGTGAACAGCAAACTCAGTCGGCGTAACAATTCCTTCCCTGCGCTGCTGCAGGAGTCGTGGCTGCCCAATGAAGCCACAAACCAGTGCTGTCTACAAACATAATTAGACATAAATCAGGTGAAGAACTTAATATCTAGATTATTCTACTCAGTAAACTCAGTATTTTCTCAGGCAGTGAAATTTAGATGGAAGTAGTCAGGGAAGAAAGAAAATTCCTTCTGCAATTCATAGAGTAGCTCTCCAGAGACAGAGATCCAAACCACGTTCTGGAGCAGCAACCCCTGAAAAACAGGCCTGATGTCTAAACACTGAAAGTAATATGCTGCTGAAAGATGGAGTTAGTGAACACATTAAATGGATTTCACGAAGAAATCCAAGACATTTGATATACAGAGTGGTTTGAAAAATCACTGGCTGACTTTTCAAGAGGCTACTTTGATAAATTTCAGTAGACTACTTTCCTAAAGTGTGATTTTTATTTTGAAAATACCCCTGAAACAATGGTCAAAATATGCTACAGTTTGTGCAACAAGAAGCTGTTTTGAGTTATGTGAGTGCTTTTGAAGGGAAGTACAACAACATATTATTCCCATTTTAAAGACAATGGAAAAAATAATGCTTAAGTAAATTAAATTAATTACACAAGAAATATAAGGCAGACCAAGGGAAAAAATTCAGATTTGCTTTCTGAAAGTGGCTTTTTTTCTACTTTGAAATAAAATGCTTTTTTACAGGTGAAGTGCAATAGAACATATTTAATAGATCAGATTAGAAAGGAAGAAAATCCAACCAAAACCACTGAAGCCTAAGCCACCTTATTCTCAAAATAACATCCATGCAGTGTATGTTTGCTCACAACATAGCAATTTCACTTGATCATGCTGCAAAAGCAGGTGGTGCTGAATATAATTTTTGAAACAGCTCCCACCTTGCAACTCAAAAACAGCTTACTTTAAAAACTGTGCAGGACTTCTTCCACCAAATCATGGTATCTAACTTTGAAACAGCTATCCATTTATTTTAAAAGTGTTTAGACTCCCAATATCCCACTATAAGAAGAACTCTGTTTCAAATTCTATTACCTTTGGATATTCCACAGTCTTGAACAAATTCAACAAGAAGTGATTTACAGATTGGCCTCATACATATGAACCTCTATGGCAGAGAGAGCTCCACTAACATTTTTGCCCCCAATTATGAGGAATTCTTACTTTAACAGCTCTGAAGTAGGTTCTGATCTGGTCTTAATAAGAGTTATGTGCTTTGAATCCAGAGAATATGTGAAATTGCATACAGAAACTTCAGTCTGTGAGCACAATGGACAAATATTCTGTTCAAGAGCCATTTTATAATGGCTGTTTGCATATAGCTGGTGTTTTGATGGGCATATCACATATTAATTTCAGGTGGAGGGATGTAGAAATACTACTATACAATCCTCCCATGCAACAGAGGAGCACTGGTAGATGGGTTACCTCGCAGTAAAACAGCATCTAATTGATCAAGAATTAAGAGCTTCAAAACTTGCTAATTTTCTAAGTCTTTGCCAAGACAAGACTACCCTACGTGCAGGGCAAACTGTACAGTCCCATTGTATGTCAGCCCTCTGTTCTACTGTTGCTGTAGACATTCAGTGGAGCCTACAAAGCATATCAGGGGTAAGAGGAGTGAGCAGAAATTTATTTTACTGGAAAATGCAACTACAAGTCAAACTATTGACTTGGACTTTGTAAAGCATGAATAGCTCATGCTCTTGGCATACCTTACCTCCTTACAGGAGTCCATTTCATGTTCATACATTGTCAGGTCTCCCATTTTCAGAGCCAAGAAAGCCTTAGTAAGTGTCAGGACTACTGATGGCATCACCTTTTCTACTTTCTGAAGATACTTCACAGCTGTCAAAGGACATATGTTTCTCATGCTGGGACTGCAAAGGATATGAGGCAACTGCACGGGGTCCGTGTGATAGAATATCTGGAGAACTTTATTTCCTGATTCCTATTGAAATAAAAGGCATTTGACAGTTTAGACCTTTTCAGATATACATTCTTCTATAGCATATGAAAGTAGTGCAGTTCTGTTGTTTTGTTTTTTGTGGCTGGTTTGTTTGTACTCTTTTAAAACAGACAAGTTCAGCTTAGCTATCAAATCACTGTGCCTTTCCTGCCTCTCTCCTCCTTACTGGTAAAAATAAAGGATTTCTATCTGGTAGTGATTCAACCCCTATTCCCACATGCTAGGAGAACATCTACCATCAAAATGAATTGTTTTTAGCAATCTGTGCAATTTAGCAATGATCAAAGAAACTGTTTGTTTTGCTACAGAAATGAAGATGACATAAATTTGAGGCAGGGCTTTCCTAAAACAGCAGTGTCTCTGTGCAAGTGGCAACCAGATCATAGCAACATGCATCATGATAGCCAAACCTGTAAGATGTTGCTTGAATGCAGTCCAAAGCATCATAGGTGCTGCTTGCTATTCAACAAAAATGGGAAAATAAAAATAATGGGAAAAAGAATAGCTGTCAAACTAAAAAAGCAGCTTAAAATTTTCAAAGGGAAAGTGAATAATACTTGATACACAATTCTTAAAACTGGAACTAAATTAGCAGATTACAAATAAACCAACTTATTTCTACCTTACTTAGTTCTTCATTTGAGTCTTCACTAAGAGAATGAGTTAAGTAAAATATAAATCCTCTCTCGTATGTCTGTATTTCATCACGTTCTGAAACTAGTCTCTTTAAAACCTCAGTCATGGATAAACCTGACATTCTGTAGTATGGCAAAGCAAGGTGGTAATCCTTTGTGTCAAACCTGAAGGAAATAGAGAGGAAGGAAAAAAATAACAAAACAACTCTTTGTAAGAACTAAAACCACATCAAACAAAGTCGCAGGCACATCAGTTATCTGCTTATATTGCTCACATTCAACATAATTCTGTTGAATTCAACATAATTATGAATAATTAAATTCTGTTTAATGACAACAAAGACAACCAGAGACCGAAGAGAGGCCTAGATTAAGCTGGTTTTGTAAAACAGAAAAGTTTATATTACATATGCAAAACTAATATATAATAGCAAAGCATTACTAATATAAAATAGCAGAGCATTATGGATTTTCATTTTAAGGTTACACTACACTATACTACACTATTCTACTGTGTTTAAGGAAACAAGCTCACCTATGCCACTTTGATATCTAAGACATACCTGCTGTAGCAGTCTCCCAAGAAGGCACAACTTTCTCTGAATGCTCTTAGAAGATCTTCCTTCTCATCTGATTTAAGGAAATGAGGGTCCATTATAGCTGCTCTGACCAGTAAGTGAGCCTCACTTAGAAGATGGATGCAGCTCTCAGTTTTAACATTTTCGTAAGTTCTACTATAATCTACCTAGAACAGACACAGGATATACTTAGGCTGCTGACAAAAATTAAGAATATACAGGAACAATTCTAATGAGGGCAGCAGCCATTTGAAACAGGATTATGGGCTAGTCACAAGAAATACACTGCACTAGATTCAAGAATGACATGCATCAGAGATTAATTAACAGTACTTATTTTTAGTTAGCAAACAACAAAAGCGGAAGTTGGACAATACCATTTCTCTGTAAAGCTGAATTGTTGAAACAGTGTTTATAATATATAAATTCCAACCAGGCTCTGACTCTGAATTTGTTCTGGATTTGATGCTGTCAGCCTTTCTGGAACTAGAGAAAAGAGTTAAGTTGTCGTCGGTGTTGAAATAAACACTATGCAACCAAAAAAACCCCCACTCATTTCGTAATTCAAATGCATAAATAGGTATGTTTGCAGACCAGTAAGTGCTGGAGAGTTAAGCTGTGAATTTAAGTGCAATGGCTAATAACAGAGCAAGGATAGGCATGTTCATACACAAGAGTCATCATCAGAACTGTCCACTACATCTCCTCTGCTTAACACCAGGGAGTACCAGGAATCATAGAATCATCAAATGGCCTGGCTTGGACCTTAAAGATCATCTAGTTCTAATCACCTTGTCATAGGCATGGGATGCCACCCACTGACCAGGACAGACTGCCCAGGGCCTTATCCAACCAGACCTCACACAGTTAAGTAATTCAAATTAGCTGTTTCATCTCCTGTAACGACTTATTGCATGTTTGCCCCTGCAGCTCTAACAAAGTGTTTGCCAAGACATGGCATAAAGAGGTATCAGAACACTTTTATGCTAAAATTCTATTGTCTTGGTCTATAAAGCCCTGAGGGTTGAAAGCACTGTAGGAAAACACACTCTTTTTGTTCTGGTTTTTAATTTTATTTTAACTGTACAGATGCAAAGATGTTTACATCTTTATTTTCAAATTATGATGCTACGTAGCTTAGTATTGTTCAACTTGCGTTTTTTACAGAAGGTAAAGGTGTATCTCCTTCAAATGCCAATTAGAATATTTGAAACAACACAACTGGCAGAAGATGGGCTTTATACAAGAAAACTACAGTATTGTGAATAGGCATTTTTCCTGACAGGCTTCTCCTTATCTTCTTCTGAATAATGTCTGCTCTAGGCTTCAAGAAATACTGGTTCAAATAACTCTTCAATCAACTAAAGCTGTCTCCCACTCTTGTTAATTAACTTAAACTGACTTGAATTAATTTGATTTCTGAATAGCTGTTTAGAATAGCTGCTTAGCTGTTTTATGAAAAGCCCCCAAAAATGGAAAAGGAATAGCACTTTCTATAGAAACTTGTAAAAAGTCACATATGCCTCTGGCTACACACATGCTACAACAGTAACCTGGGGCAAAGTCTGGTCCAACTTTGGTCATGGATAACTACAGTGATGTTCTCAACTTTCTTGGAAAGAATCATAAGCCAAAGATAAGACATTTAATTTTGTGCTGTAACATATTTTGTAACCTGTAGCTTTGGCACTACATTTTTTTGGTACTCTACATTTTTTTCTTAAGATAAATATTTTTTTAATTCTCAGGATAAATTCTTAGTGATATCATTTTAACATTTTGTTGATTTCAAGCATTTGTGACTTTATGCTCATTTCTTCTATGTCAGTAAATACAATAGAATTGGAAAAAAAAAGCTTGACTGCTCTTCTCAATTACTAAGGCAATTATTTCTAAAGAGTTTTTCAACAGAAGAACCACTCTTAAATTGCAAGATCCAGAGGTTCAGCACTGTACTCAGAGCTATAAGTATCATCTCCCTAAAAGACACAAATCCTTACAGCATCCTTCTTGTAGGCTTTCTTCTTTCAGTAATATCTTCAGTGTCTGCCTTAGTCAAAAGAATTATATGGTTTTTGAAATGACAGATAGCTCTCGGTCCTATAAAAAGCTGCATTCTTAATGTACAGACATCCAGTGTGACAGGTGGACAAGCCTACAAAGGAAAGTGACTGTTTTGTAATTTCACTTGGTAATGTATGTTAAGTTTTCAAATAAATCAGAAAAAGGTAACCCCTGTAAAATAAAAGATCCACTGTCTTTCCTGAGTGCTCCATTTAAGCAAGAATAAAAATATTCATAAATGACTAAAAAGATTAATTTAATAAGGAGTGGGAAAACAATTGTTTCACTCTTCAAAGCAACTGCACAGTTTCAGCTATGTTTCTCAAAATAACTGAACATGAGGTAAAGCAGAAATGCCTAACGCAGAAAACTTTATCCTGAATAGTTTGAATTTGGCCAAGTTTTGAAAGACTGCCTGGTTATAAAAGTCTTGATTTCAGTTGCTTATAAAAAGCAGTTACAGATAGCAGTATTATATTTGCTTGCCTATTGTTATCTTACATAGACAGTATTATTTCCCCGATTTGCTCTATATGCACTTTTCACGTAAAACATATGCTATCATCTATAATGGACTAAAAATTGAAAAATGCAACTTCATTTGCACAGAAATACTCTAAATTTACGCCTTTAAAAAGATAAAATACTTACACTTAAAAATTAACATACACAGTGAAACAAGACAACACAGCATTATACGTGTAACCTGCTTTTTGAAGACACTTCAGTATTTCTTGTAAGAGGTAGAGGTCTACAGTGGTCTAAACTGCCCTGGGGTAGTGAGACCCAGAATGAGGCAGCTCTAAAACTGGTTAAAAAAAAATAGCAGGAAAAATACTAATAGCAAATAATAAAAATAACCACCATAACACTTGAAACTCCACACTGGGACACCCATGAGGGAAGTGGCCTGTGAAGGACTCACAGCAGCACAGGGACTGTAGCTCCTCAGTGACTGCAGCCCATGGAGGGATCCATGCCAGAATGGGTGGGCACACTGTGGATAGCAAGCTGCAGCACAGAAATCTGCCTAGGTCTGCAGCCTTCACACCTCTTCAAAACTCCTACAGACACAGGAAGCAGCCTGCTGGCTGACTGGAGGAACTGTGATGGATTTAAATGTAACCCACAGTGAAAACGCAGAAAACTGAGACTGGAGAATGGACAGGTGAGATTGTGTCACATGCTGATATTAGCTATCCAGAGCAAAGGATACATGTTTGGCTCTTGAGAATTTTATAAAACTTCTACTCTCCTATGGCTTCTTTATGTCTGCTGTCTACACACTCAGAAGAAATCCTTAAATGCTATCTTAAAATACACCTCTGTCTAACTTTCCTACTACTTCTATTAATGTGTATCACAATCTTTACATTCAATAGTTTTTACTGATAAGCAATTTAAAGAAGGCAAAAAGTTTAGACCTCCAAGGATCAAAAGCCTCCTCCTAAAAAAACACGCCCTAAGTATTTGGTAGCAGACTTGTTTGATTCCCTTGTGCCTCTTAAGAAAAACTGGTTTGTCAAGGACACCTAAGAGAAAGAAACATCATACAATAAAAGAAAGGTCTGCACCCTTTGTTCAGTTTTATAGATCAAAGCATGGAATTTAGTTTAAAAAAGAAGTGATTTTATAGCTTTTCATGTTTTTGAAAATATTCTACTAATGGTCTAAAATTTTACATGGCAATAATAGATTGTTTCATTGGGACATCTGCAGACCACCAAAATACAACATGCCATTTATTTTGGATGTTATTTTATTGGTTCAGCCACCAGACACTAACAGGATTTCAAAATGTAAGTCAACTAAGTGCCATAGCACTACCCCCATTCTATCAGTGAGGTAATGAGAAGTGTACTTTCGCTATATCTGATATATGGTATGATATATGATGTAATGATATATATGACATACCTTCACAGTCGTGTCAATATATGGATCCTCACCACGAGCTGCTGCTGCACTGCATCGCACTGTGAAGCACTGCAGGTTCTGACTAGGGGAAAAGAAGAAAACACAACAATGAAGGAAATAAATTAAGATTTGCAAAAATCAAGCAGCCACGACTACAATGCATCAGCTCTTTTACCTTTCAAGAAATGGGCTTAAAAGCCCAAGCAGGAGTGGTATGCTGAACTAGCACATGAGCCTGCCCAGAGATTTCCAGGAGGCTATGAAGGACGTATCAGAGGTAAAAAAAAAGATTAGAAAGGACAGCAGCATAAAGAAACATAGTAATATTATCAGTAAAACCATAAACATAGTACCTTGTAATGACATGCAGGAACTGTGGAGTGAGGACTGCCTGCTCTGACTTCTCTGAATATTGGTAAGTAGAAATTAGTTCTACTAACTTCCCAATAGAGTAGAGATATCCAACATGAGGTAAAGAGAAAAAGCAGAAGAGACTCAGAAGTTTTCTCTTGTTCTCTATTTCCTCACAGGCTGTTGCAGAAATTCCTAGATGTAACAATGAGAAAGGCATTTTATATACTTCATAAATGAAAACCTGGCAATTCCATTCCAAGCCTGAAGCCTAAAAGATACAATCATACCTGCCCAAGTTGCAGACTAGTTTTCTTAGCAGCTAGTAAAAAAAAGTTTTATATGAAGCTCAGTGCATGTCAGAAAATTGAATGACATGTTATCTCATTTGGAGGCATTTTCACAAAAGTATGGATGTAGCACCCATGTGAAGATGTGAATAAATTCTATAGATGTAACAGTATTAGAGAGTCCTAAATTCACTGCAACTAAGCATCCATGGACTGAAAGCCTGATCTTAGACAATTACTTTTAAGTTGCAATGAATGGTCATCCAGAGCTGCAGCTCACAAAAAAATAAGTCATTTCTTAAGGAAAGAAAAGGCTGGAAATGGCAGAATTTATTAGGATGCTACTTTAGCAGGTAACAGCTGTGTTCATATTCTACAGATCCTCTTGTCAAAGCCTGTAAATCACGTAAGAGCATAAGACAGCTGGAGTTAAATGGCAAGTAGCTCATTCTTTTCAGCCAGCTGCAAGTTAAATGAGGCATTGCTACTTAGCAGACAGTAAACCATCTCAAACTGAGTGAACGGCCAGTAAAAGTCAAGGGCCAACCATATGCTGGGATGCATCAGGCACAGCATTGCTGAGGGGGCAGGGATGGGATTGTCCCAGTCTGCTCTGCACTGGGGCAGCATTATCTTGAGTCCTGGGGGCAGTTTGGGGCACCACAATACAAGAAGGATATAAACCTATTAGAGAAGAGACTAAGGGAGGGCTACAGAGATGGTGAAGAGTCTGAAGGGGAGGCCACAGGAGGAGTGGCTGAGGGGACTTGGTTTGTTCAGCCTAGAGGGGACTGAAGAGAGACCTAAGAGCATTCTTTGTGCAGTTCCTGAGGGAATGGCAAAAACCTGTGTCAGGGGAGGTTTAGACTGGGTATTAGGAAAAGGTTCTTCCCCCAGAGGGTGGTCAGGCACTGGAAGAGGCTCCCCAGGGCAGTGGTCATGGCCCAAGCCTGTCAGAGCTCAAGGAGCATTTGGAAAATGTTCTCAGGCACTTGGTGGGATTCTTGGGGTTCTCCTCCGCAGGGGCAGAAGTTGGATTCAATGGTCCTTGTGAGTCCCTTCCAACTCAAGACATTCTGTGATTCTATGAAATCTGACTGCTAACATACAGTATTAAATTCTTCCACAGGTCTTTTGTGGCTTGAGCTAGTGAACTCCTAAAATTAGCATTCATGCCTTCCAGTTTTAATTAAGGCCCTTCAGAAAGGTAACCAGTACCTTAGTGATTATTAAGGTTTACTATACTGATTTCCTTGGCTGGCTGAGCAGCAGTCTAGTATCTTGTAACACTAAGGGGAATTTTATTAACGCAATGTAAAGGGTGACTGTTTTGCAACACAAAATTTATTGGCAAAGAACTGATAAAAGCTGATTTAGTCACACTTGTGGTGCGTTGAATAGGTATTTTAGTTCAAGGTTTATGTAGAACTCAGAGAAATTAAAAGACTATTTTGTTAACAGAAGCTCAGTTTAAATCATTGAAAAGGGAGGAAATATCTCAATTTCAAAACAAATCACACAGAAATCACATAGTGTACAAAACAGGATACATAAAGAAGTTCTTTCCTTTCCCAAGTCTCCTGTGACACAGTTCCATTGTGCATTCATGCATATCCATATACCTGTCTGGTATACAGGAAGCAGTTGAATAGAGTGCAACTTTGTCTCTTCACAAAACCCAAAAGGCGACTGGTCAGGTGCAAAACGTCTAGGAAAGAAGTCCGAAACAACGTGGGACTGCAGTGAGAAATTATGATGATATACCTTGGACAAATAAACAGCACTGGCTACACAGCTCATGTTTTAACACTCAGCAAGAACGCACGCTCCTACTCCCAATGCCATTAGCACAGCAATGCCAAGAAGCACACGGCACAGCTAGATAGAACTCCATTCCTGCAACCAAAATCCTCTCTTTGCTTGTCTGTAAGATGCATGTCAAAGTTTGACATCACTGAAGAAATCCCACAACTGATTTTGAACTCAATTTAACCTTTTTTTCCTCTTTCTTTTTAGTCCACTGAGCTATATGGAACATCATGCCATCTCTAGTACTATTTTTTTCCTATTACGTGTCATCCTTTTCCCTGCTTTGCTTTGGAATTCACTGTCGGACGCTGACATCAATTCTACCTCAGCTTTTGATAGAAATTTTGATGAAAAAGGAAGACTAAATCAGCTTCTGGAGGAGAGGACCTGGAGAGGCAGGTGCTGAGCTTTCCTCCCTGGGATCCTGGGACAAGACACCTGGGAAAGGCTCAAAGCTGTGCCACAGGAGGTTCAGACCTGACATGAGGAAGCAATTTCTTACCGAGAATGGTGAAACACTGAACAGGCTTCCCAGAGAGGTGGTTGATGCCCTAGACCCTGTCACTGTTAAAGAGGCGTTTGGACTGTGCCCTTAATAATATGCTTTAATAGTGGCTCACCCCAGAAGTGGTCAGGCAGCTGCACTAATGATTGCTGCAGATCCCTTCCATGTGAAATATTCCAATAGACTAAAAAATGGAGTTTCTTTGGTATCCCATAATTTCCTCAGTTCAAAAGAAACACCGAACCTTATAAAAACCCCAGAAGTCAAAATACCAGGAGTTTCCTTTCAAAAAGACAAAACACACAACTCAGTTTGGTTTTTTGTAGTAAATTAACTCATAATAGGGAAAATACATCTGTAATACCTGAAAAGCAGATACTGCACTTGGAAATGCTTTGTGTCTTCTGTAGGTAACTCTGTGGATTCCAGTGTGACAGGTATCTCACATAGCTTACTTTCTTCCCCAAGCAGTTCCACTGGCTTCTGACATATGATGAACTCATCTAATTCAAGCTGTAAAGGATGCGTTGAAGGACTTTCATCTTTCACACCTGAGCAATGAAAATGTTAACTGTTCAAACCATTCCATGCAGCAATAAGAAAATGGTATGACAATATCAATTAAATTCTTCAATTACAGCTACCCTGCTAGCATTGGCTTCCTCAAACTGCACGATTTTGAAAACAGCTGTACTAGAAGGTGGGAACAATTCCTACTTAAGCCTCAACAGTCTGAATACTTAAGACTTCTGGAAAAAAAACCCCGAACAGGTAAACTGTTCATGAGAAGGTGAGTCAAAGGCAGCCAATGTTGCAAATGGCTGGTCATCAAAAAAATGCTGACTTTTGGCTGAAGAGAATTTGAGAAGGCAAAGGCAGCTATCACAGGAAACTGTGTTATCTTTAACTCACTTAAGTCCTGGAAAGCAAATTCTAATAACACTAACAAGGTAACTGGAACTTTTCTATGTAGTTTTTAGTAATAAAAAAACACTAGGAGCAGGACACCTTTATCTGAGAAAAGACCCATCTTCACTCAGTGAAGAACACTGCATTTACATTGTCCCAATGTGAAAAGTCTTATTTATCTTTAAATTTTTTCTAGGTACAGTTTCCATTTCTAAAGGACAATCCTTTTAAGTTTCTTCAGTTATAAAGAAAGGACCTTCCTAAGGTTTGTTGGTGTTGATCTGATACATAAACATTTGGAAAAGTGGGAATTGATAACTGATTACATATGGATTGATATCTTGTAATACACAGGAATGAAACATCCTGAGTACATCTGTTTCTGGGATTTCTAGAATTCTAAGGCAAATCCTCAAATAAGATAAAGGACTGAAAAACGAGAATTTGCTTGATTATGGCAGGTTCTGAGCCTAACAGTTACAAATGTACACACGCATCACAACAGAAACATTCTTAATTGTGTAAGCCAGTTACTTAGGCAATGACACGGATAGAATAACTTTTTAGAATACAGCACACTGAACTACTACCCCTTTAAATTGGCCCACCCTAAACAGGGGACCTAATTCTGTGCCTGCAGAGGCTGTACTATTCTCTAAGTGTGCAGCATGATGGCATAATTGTTTGAAATGTTACCTCCACCTGCAGGCTGGTACAACTATTCATGCTCTAGAACATTCAGCTGATAGTCAGTGCTAGCACAATCTGGAAATATTTTCTGAAGGTCAAAGACCTTGTTCGAGACTACCTTCAGAACAACAGGAATAAATTAGCAGATTCTTGGAGGTTAAAAAAAAAAATTATTTCAGCACCTACCTCCATCCACAGCTTTTTCTGGTGCACTGACTCTCTGAGCACATTGCTGGGTCCCATCTGCACTTTGCTGGACCAGTTCCAGTTTCAGGATTAGAACATCCAGCTCTGTTGTTATGGCTATATGTCTGGCACAAAATGCAACTTCAGCAGGAATGAGGTTATCAATATGCAAAATTAAGGAGCGTTCAAAATCTAACACAGTCAAATTCTGCTTTATGACCCGGTATTTCAAACAGAACATGACTAGTTTATTCTTGCAGCCCACAAGAAGATCTCCATTCACAGAACAACACGAAATGCACAGTGGAGGATCTGAAAGCGGCATTTCAACAACTGACATCTGATCTTTTAAGGTTTCACTGTATGACTCTTCCATCTTGTGACCAACCATCCGAACACACACGCGAGAACTCCCTGCAGACATGCATCTCCAGTTCATATATGCTCTTAGGAAAGTTGTTTTGTTTTTTTCTTCAATTGTCACCAGATAGTCTCCTTAAAAGAAAGTAGTCATACTGATATATCATTAAAAAACAGATTACAGTTTCTGAGCTCTTTACCTGCTGTAGTATGCTACAAAGAACATCTTCAAGTCTCAACTCTTACAAAAAAAGTTCCAAAACCAGTTTTCAACAACTTTTCTCTAAAAGCGCAATTTTCTTTGCTGGGTAGCATACACTTCACGAATCACTCAAAGCAACAAGGACTTAGAGATGTAGGTCCTGAGCAACTCCTATGTGAATCCTCCCTACAAGTTGTGATTGCATACAAGGTTCCTCCCACCCCTCCCCTTCTCATACCCATTAATAAACGAAATGTTTTGTTCTCTACAGACCATGGAAAGCAATAGACCAATAGACTCATGAAGAGCTGTGGAATGGGCTGGAACGACCACCCACTCCGTGCTCTGAAAACAGAAAATAAAAACAAAAAAGACCGAAAGCAGAGTCGAGAGCACAGACCACAACCAAGGCGGAGGCAGACGACGGAGAGATGCAGCTCCCACCCTCCCTCGGCAGGCCCGACTGCCGGCGCCGGGGCCGGCCCGCGCTTCCCTGCTCGGCCCGCTGCCGGCCCGCTCCAGCAGGCGCGCCCCGGCTCGGGAGTAGCCTGGGGAGAGCCTGAGCGGGAGGCCAGGTCCTTATCCCGCTGCGGAGCCCGAGCGGCTTTGTTCCCGCAGCCCCCCGGCCCGGCCCGGCCCGGCCCGGCCGGCTCCCCATCCCCGTCCCGCGCAGCCCCAGGGCCGCTCCTCGCACTCGAGCACTCACGGACCCAGCAATGGCCAGGACTGACCTGTCGAGCTGTGCGCCATGCGCAGCACCGCACCCAGCGTGGCGAAGGAGCCCAGGGCCTCGCAGCGGCCCTGTTCGCGCACGGCGAACACCTCCACCCTGCAGCTGGCCGCCGTGCTGGCCACGAACAGCACGTCTTGGCCGCAGCAGAAGTGCGCCGGTTCTTGCTTGCAAGGCACTACTCGCTGCGAGCCGAAGGGGTGCAGGTTGTAAAGCTGCACCATGGTCCCGAGAAGTTCCGCTGCAGCAGCGGAGAGCACCCGCAGCCTCCCGGGGCGGCGCCCGGCACTTCGCGCAGGGCAGAGCCGCCTCGGCGCGGCGCTGCGCGGGCCGGGGCCAGGCCAGGGATGGGCCGGGGCCAGGCCAGGGATGGGCCGGGGCCAGGCCAGGGATGGGCCGGGGCCAGGCCAGGGATGGGCCGGCACCGTGCGCCTGCCCCGGCACCGCCACCCTCCGACGAGCTTCCGTGTGGCCTTGGCGCGGCTCTGCTGATGGGCGAGCACCCCCGGGAATCTTCCGTCATGGCAGAGCCGCGCCGGACACTGGTGGAACTCTCGAGTGCGAAGAGAAACTGGAAGTGATCCTTGAGGAGTGTGAGACGGACTGGCAACGGTGGCTCATAAATTGAAGACCTTGCTGACGAATGTTTGGTCGGTGGTTTATGTGCGGCGCAGCTTTCACTGTGCCCCGGCTTGGAGCCGCTACCGCCGGCAGGAGTGTGCCTAATGCATTAGGCTACTGAAACCTGGGTTCTTTCAGCCTCTCCGTGTGAAAAACAGACTTTTTTGTATTTAAATATAGGAAATCTTCCTTAATAACCAACAACAACAAAAAAATCACACCCAAACCACCAAACTCCCTAAACAAAAGCCTAGCTATTTCACAGAATATTCCCAGTTGGAAGGGACCAACAAGGATGACTCTTAGCTGAAGGGCCTATGTGGGAATTGAAACCACAACTTTGGTGGTGTTAGCCTCATGCTCTAACCAGCTGGGTCAGCACTTTTTACACAAGCCAAGTGTCCTAGGAAAGAGCTCCTTCCATGTGTCTCTAAAGCTCTATTCATGTGACCATACTAGTAAAGGTTATGAGTTTTTGGGTTTTTTTACTATGCTAATGTAGGAAGGCTAAAATTACTATGCACTCTTAAAGCAGGTAACAGATCCGCTACCGAAACCTACAATCTCAAATTGTCCTTCCTTCATGAATACACATATTAATAGTGAAAAAGGAAAAAAAAAAGAAAAAAAAAAACCCCAAAACCCGCAGTATAATCTTTGGAACTTTATTTAGAAGCACATTTGAAAGCTAACAAACAGGGTTCTGCAGTTTGTTTTTTTTTTTTTTTTTTTTTTTGTAAATAGATTTTTCCAGGCTTTAGTTTTCTCAATATTCATCTCCTTCTTCAGCCTCTGCTTCAACTGAGTCTAGGCCAACTTCTTCATAATCCTTCTCAAGGGCAGCCAGGTCTTCCCGGGCTTCAGAAAATTCTCCTTCCTCCATCCCCTCCCCAACATACCAATGCACAAAGGCACGCTTAGTGTACATGAGATCAAATTTGTGGTCAAGCCGAGCCCATGCTTCTGCAATAGCAGTTGTGTTACTCAGCATGCACACAGCCCGTTGCACCTTGGCAAGATCAGCACCTGGCACCACAGTTGGAGGCTGGTAGTTAATGCCCACCTTCAAGAAAACAAATGTGAACTTTACTTAGGATTGCTAAGGCTTAAAGACTAATTTCTTTTAACAATCAAAAATCACCATGATTACAAATAAATAAAACAGCTTAGAGTTATTTTGCACTTTATCAAAGTATTTAACAGGCACAATACAACATTGTAGCATGACTGTCACCTCTGAAGACTACACAATTCCTAATCATTTAGGTGTTGAGCACTTAAAAGGCTACATACCTTGAATCCAGTTGGGCACCAATCCACAAACTGAATGGTACGTTTAGTCTTGATAGTGGCAATGGCTGCATTGACATCTTTGGGCACAACATCACCTCTGTATAACATGCAGCAGGCCATGTACTTGCCATGGCGAGGGTCGCATTTGACCATCTGGTTGGCTGGTTCAAAGCAAGCATGGGTAATTTCAGCCACAGATAACTGCTCATGATATGCTTTTTCAGCAGAGATGATAGGGGCGTATGTTACCAAGGGGAAATGGATTCGTGGGTATGGAACCAGGTTAGTTTGAAATTCTGTCAGATCTACATTGAGGGCTCCATCAAAACGCAGTGAGGCTGTGATGGATGAAACAATTTGCCCAATTAATCGGTTCAAATTGGTATAAGTAGGACGGCCGATGTCCAGGTTACGACGACATATGTCATAAATGGCTTCATTATCGACCATAAAGGCACAGTCTGAATGCTCTAATGTTGTGTGGGTAGTTAGAATTGAGTTGTAGGGTTCCACTACAGCAGTGGAAACTTGTGGTGCTGGATAAATTGCAAATTCCAGTTTAGATTTCTTGCCATAGTCAACAGATAGCCTTTCCATGAGTAGCGATGCAAACCCTGAACCAGTGCCTCCTCCAAAACTATGAAAGATAAGGAAGCCTTGCAGCCCTGTGCACAGATCAGCCTATAATGAGGTGGAAAAAAATGGGAGAAAAAAAAAATTATCCAAAACCATCAATAAATATTAAAATAATCATTCAAAAGCATTTCTGTCATAGGTTTGCTAGTTTTACATTGTTATTATTGAAAAAAAATGTTCTTAAAAGGTCCTGATTTAATTGGTTGAATTTTTAAAAGGGGGGTACCGGGCAGGCCAGGAAATGAAAGGTTTCTTTTGTTTTGAACAATTAACTATGTACAATTCTTAAAGAAAAACCAGCAAACGATCAATATAGCTAGCTGTAGAACTGTATCAATTATTTTAAATACTAACTTGCAGCAGGAATCCTTACCAGTTTGCGAATGCGGTCTAGCACTAGATCAACAATCTCTTTTCCAATGGTATAATGGCCTCTGGCATAATTATTAGCTGCATCTTCTTTCCCAGTAATGAGCTGCTCAGGATGGAATAACTGCCTATACGTACCTGTACGTACTTCATCTACAAAAAAACCCCCAAAATATCACATCATAAATTTGATCAGTTCTGTGTGTGTTGCCTAGCGACTACACATGGAGCAAACGTGTCAAAATAGTGCAGACAGCATCTCTGACTACATGCAGCTTGTCTGACTAGTCTAGTAAGTTGGCACAACTTCTGCCCCCTTGACTCAGGGTAAACATCAGGCACACACAAAGCAGTTTTTATACTCAAGGAACTCAGAGATCACTCAGAAAACTACATTACAGGTACAGACATGATACTGGACAACTCAAACGAAACTCTGTATGCAGTGCAGTGGTCTGGAAAGATGATCCAGACCATAAAAAAGTTCTCTTGTTTTCCAGATATTGTTACCTGTATACCATTATTTAATTTCTTTCAAATACCAATAACTGCAAATGTCAAAACAGCATCCAGACACATGTTTTTAAATCCATAGTGTTCTAAACAAAAAAAGACAGCAGGGAATCCATAAAGGATCCTCACTTTTTCATTTAAAATCTTCAATGTTGGGTACATACCAACTACTGTTGGCTCTAGGTCTACAAACACTGCTCTCGGAACATGTTTACCAGCTCCCGTCTCACTGAAGAAAGTGTTAAATGAATCATCTCCACGTCCCATAGTATTATCACTAGGCACTTGACCATCAGGCTGGATCCCATGTTCAAGACAATACAATTCCCAACATGCATTGCCAATCTGAACACCAGCCTGGCCAACATGGATGGATATGCATTCACGCTGAAAAGTAAAAAGAGAATGATAATGAGACATGGAGCTACCTGCCCATGGGCTGTACTTTCTATGATCCTTCTCTGCTGCAATATTCTCTGGTTGCTCTTAAGTGACAATTTAAGAGAACAAGTTGTCTGCTGCTGGCAAGACACTACTCACCTTTGCTGACCTGCACTGACTTTGTGAATATTGGAAGATCCTAAAGACAACATAATCTGTATGGGTGAATACAAATTCATTATCCCTTAAAATGCTGTGCATATATTAATATTCAGCCTAGTCTCTTTTTCACCTTTTTTTAGTTTTTGGAAGACCTCTTTATATAATATCCCCCCAATTTCTTGTTTCCAGACCAGGTACTGGGTAACTGTTGCAGGAATCTTTCCTGCACAGGACCATTCAGTACCTTTTCCTTTATAATAAGCATACCAATATCTAGGCCCTACCAATTAGTACATATTTTTTTCATACATATTCCTATGTGAAATCATTTTAGAATCCAAATGAAATGTCATGTGCCTCCTTTAAGCTAGCTCCTTTGATTCTAAGCAACTGTGTCATGTATGTTTAATCTCCCAATACCTCAACTGCCTTACACCTGACATGGAAATACGCTGCTTTTCTATTTTATTGTTAGTGTATTTAGAAAAAAACAGAGGTGGAAAACAAAAAAGCAAGACGTCTGGATTGCTCTTTCCCGTTTCCTTGGCAGCTTCAGCCAATTCCGGTCTCCGCTCCACCCCCGCAGCTCCGCCACGAGACTCGCGCCTCCCGCCGGGCCCGTCACGGCCGCCGGCCACACCCCCTCCTCTGATTGGCTACGCCCAGGGAGCGGCTCCCGGCGCGCGCCACCCGCCCCGTCCCTCGAGCACGCGCTGTGCCCTCTGCGGCTTCACGCGCCAAGGCAGCCCAAAAGCAGCACATAGATCCGGCCGGCGGCCACTCTGCTCTGTCCCGCTGTCTGGATAGAGGTTTCAGTTCGTCCCTCGCCTCTTCGCGCAGGAGGTGCCTGCTCCGAACAGACTTCCCTTGCACATACCTCGTTTTGCTAGCTATCGGCATGTTTCTACGCCTCGCCTGCCCTAAAGTTAATAAACTTTCACACTAGTTTCTCTCCTTCTCCCCAACCCTTCTGCGTTACAGCTACCGCGGGGACTTCATGCAGAGACTGCCTGAGAGTCCTGCCGCAACATGTGCAGTCATGAATTCCCCTGAAGAGCCACAATAGAAGCGGTCCCAAACGCCCTTTCTCCCCCCGCAACCACAAGGATCCCATCTCCCAAACGCCCTTTCTCCCCCCGCAACCACAAGGATCCCATCTCCCAAACGCCCTTTCTCCCCCCGCAACCACAAGGATCCCGTCTCCCACCATGGTGCCTCGCTAAGGTGACGAACTCCGACTGTGCCACAAGACGCCCGCCGCCGCAACCGACCAGCACCAACTGCCGACCGTTAACCGC